TCCTCATCATAGGTGACAGGGTCTTGCTCTGTCATGGTAGACACAACCTGACAGGACAAAGGAGAAAGAGGCTTGGAGCAAGCACCAAGAACAAAGTCTGAAACGATGCCACAGGACTAACACAAGGGAAATCACCATTGAAGCATCTGAACTTGACGTTACGGCACCTGCCACTGCCACCCACCAGCACTGACACCACTTCTGCCTTGGGACTTTAACCTTGCAGCCTCCAGAAAACTATCACCACTGCCGCTACCACCACACAGTCATTCCTGACAGCACTCACATCAGGAAAGAGGGAAACTCCAAGTACATCCTGTTTCTGCACCTCACTCACTTCCAAATTAAAGTCATGCCTGAGTGTACCTGAATGACAGAGCCTAGGTCATAGGCCTGTGCCCTCGCTGCAAGCGAGGTTGGGAATCTGAGTTCGGACTTCTAGATTGGGATTAAAACATAAAGATTTCCACAAATATTTAGGAGGACATTCCAAGGATGATGGGCAGCCATGAATATGACTGATGTTTCCTACAATCATCTAGATATTTTCAAGGGAGAAAAGCAAAATGCAGAACAATACGTATAGACTACTATCACCTGCATAAGAAGCAGAAATCATCTACATGCACGGACTATCTCTGGAAAATTTCAGGGGAAACAGGTAACTATTATCTCCAGGAAAGGGAACGCAATAATCAGAGATGAGAGGAAGTTTCAGTTATCACTGTATACTCCCTTGTACCCTTTGATTAAGAAGGATGCAATGCAAGGAAGGCGAAAAGGGGACAGGAAAAGAGGATTGGAAGGAAAGAGGCACCATTTCTTGCTTCTCTCATTCTCAAAGGTGGGCTCCAGCATAGCCCCCAGCAAAGGCATTTTTACTCTTCTTTGCTCTTTCTCATTCAAGCCTATAGGTACGCTGAGACACACCCTTTTCACCCTGGCAAGGAGAAAACTTTAGAACTTGCCTGGGCATAGAAAGTGCTCATTATCCATCCAGTTGGGGAGGAGGGTGTAGCGATAATAGGCACATTCTGCTGCTTTGAGCTGAGCAAAACATGTTCTCTGCACACATGAACACAGCTGCCATTTTGTATGTGCCAAGGACTCAATGCAAATAAAAATATATTTTAGGTATCTATTGCCATTTCTAAGCCGTCAGACTTTTAGCAGGTTTATAAGCTGAAGACTTAGTAAAGAACTTTATATTGGGTAAGTATTTACCAAAACCATGAATCACGAAAAAAACATCTCCACTACTTTTCTCCTTCTAGCAGCATCCTTATTCTACCTAAATTAACTCTCTAGAATTTTTAGCGAAAATGTGCTAGAGGCGCCTGGCGTAGTGGTTCCCGCCTATAATCCCAGCACTTTGGGAGGCCGATGTGGGTGGATCACCTGAGTTCGGGAGTTCGAGACCAGCATGATCAACTTGGAGAAACCCCGTCTCTACGGGCGTGGTGACGCATGCCTGTAATCCCAGCTACTTGGAAGGCTGAGGCAGGACAATCGCTTGAACCCAGGAGGTGGAGGTTGCGGTGAGCCGAGATCACGCCATTGCACTCCAGCCTGGGCAACAAGAGTGAAACTCCATCTCAAAAAAAAAAAAAAAGAAAACGAAAGGTGCTAGAGGAAAAAAGCCGCTTGTGTTTAACAAGTTAAAGTAGCTGAGACTTTCAAAGGCCTCTACTCATTCATTTCCCTTTTGTGTTCGTTGAATACGGACTATGGCCACATTTCTCATCCAGTCTAATCTACTCATATCCCAGACATCACATGACTTACCTTTTTGTTTTTTTTAACTGAGACAGGGTGTTGCTCTGTTACCCAGACTGGAGTGCAGTGGTGCAGTCATGGCTTACTGCAGCTTTGATCTCCCAGGCTCAAGCAATCCTCCCACCTCAGCCTCCCGAGTAGCTAGGATCACAGGCACACACCACCACACCAAGCTAATTTCTACTATTTAAAACTTGTCTTTTGTTCAACTTCTATCGTAAGTTCAGGGGTACAGGTGCAGGATGTGCAGGTCTCTTACATAGGTAACAAACGTGGTGGTTTGCTGCACAGATCATCGCATCATTTTTATTATTTTTGTGTGTGAAGACAGGGGTTTCTTTATGCTGCCTGGGCTGTTCGTGAACTCCTGGGATCAAGCGATCCTCCTGCGTTGGCCTCCTAGGCGCTGGGATTACAGGCCTGAACCACCACACCCAGTTGATTTCCCTTTTTGAAGGGGAGTTTATCAGTGTATGAGTCATTGATAACAGATTTTTTTCAATATTTGCACCTTGAATGTATAAGGTTTTAAAGTCAAGAGATAGAGCTTCTCTTTATCTGCCACCCTTTTGCTACCTGAAGCACAACTATCTGCTAACTAAATATATATATATATTAATACCTTAAAACAGTTCTCTAGAAACTTCAGGCTATTATGAGTAACTATGAAGCTCTTATTCAATGTTTCAAATTCCATCTCAAAAATCAGCTCCTTCCTGAAGCCGTTTCTCACATTCCCTACCACTTCAAACTCCTGGCAGAAGTAGACACCTCATTCTGTATTCCTTGGCATCCCCCTACCATTCGAAGATTAAAGTGTGTACCAGTTAAACTGAGTATTTTCAACACATATTAGGATGTCTAGCTAACAGTATTACAGTGACTAGTGAATAAACAATCCATTACTGAATAATATGTATGAATTAATTACCAGACTCAGTGAATTGATTCTGCTTGTTTTTCTGTTTTTGTTTTTTGAGAGGGAGTCTCACTCTGTAGCCAGGCTGGAGTGCAGTGGCGCGATCTCGGCTCACTGCAATCTCTGCCTTCCAGGTTCAAGCGTTTCTCCTGCCTCAGCCTCCTGAGTAGCTGGGACTACAGGTGTGCCACCACGCCCAGCTAATTTTCTATTTTTAGTAGACACGGGGTTTCACCATGTTGGCCATGATGTTTTCAATCTCTTGACCTCATGATCCACCCCCCTTAGCCTCCCAAAGAGCTGGGATTATAGACGTGAACCACCATGCCCACCTCTGCTTGTTTTTGAAGGGGGAAAAAGGTGTGCATTTTCTTTTTTTCTTTTGAGTTGGGAGTCTCACTCTGTGGCCCAGGCTGAAGTGCAGTGGTGCAATCTTGGCTCACTGCAACCTCCACCTCTTGGGGGGTTTCACCATGCTGACCAGGCTGATCTTAAACTCCTGACCTCGTGATCCACCCACCTCTGCCTCCCAAAGTGCTGGGATTACTGGCGTGAGCCACTGCACCTGTCCCAGGGTGTGCATTTTCTTAATCTATATGTATAAAATGTTGAAGTTCAGAATACACTTTTTAACCCACTTCTAACCCAGGAACTTAGGAGATGGGTTGGGCCTGTGTCACAAGAACAACAGGAACTGAGTAGTAAGTAAAACATAAAGTTAAATTAGACCCAAGACAGCCAGGCATGGTGGCTCATGCCTGTAATCTCAATACCTTAGGAGGCCAAGATGGGAGGATGGCTTGAGCCCAGGAGTTCAAGACCAGCCTGGGCAACAAAGTGAGACTCTGTCTCCACAAATGATACATTTAAAAATTAGCCAGACATGGTGGTGCACACCTGTAGTCCCAGCTTAGGAGGCTGAGTTAGAGAATCACTTGAGCCTGAGACATCAAGGCTGCAGTGAGCCATGATTGTGCCACTGCACTCCAGTCTGGGGAGAGCAAGACCCTTTCTCAAAAAAAAAAAAAAAGCGTAGGATACATAATATGGATGAAACTCACAAACATAAAGTTGAACACAAGAAGCCAGACACAAAATAATGCATATGGTCTGATTCCATTTATATAAAGTACAAAGACCAGCAAAACCCATCTAAGGAGTTAGAAGATAGGATAATGGTTATCCTGGGCCTGTGGGGAGTGGGGGGCAGTGGTAATAACTGAAAGGAATAACTAAAAGGGGGCACTAAGGGGCTTCCAAGGACTGATGATGTCCTGTTTCTTCAACTGGGCACGCTTTATACATTACTGTCTTTATATACACTGTATACAGGTGTGTTCAGTGTGAAAACTCAGCTATACAGTCATGATTTGTGCTCCTATCTATATATATTGTGTGTATGTATGGGTGTGTGTATATATAATACATATTTATATACACACAAGTCATTACATATAATTAAAAGTTTAAAAATTAACCTAGACCAAGAGGAAAGCTTAAAACCAGTTGAATTCTTAGCACAATGCAGAAATTTTCCATTGAAAAGAAAAAAATATTGTTATAAATAGAAGCATCATTCAAGGTCACACATAAAATCTGGACCAAAGTCTAAGTTCTAATGGGCAATGAGCAGGGTTTCCAGAGAGCAAGCATTAAATACTGTCTACCCAGGATGACAGCAGATGTTCTCATGGTGTTCACAGGTAGGGAAGTGGGCCCGGATAACCCTTCCCATCGTTGACAAATTCTACCAAATGAAGACATTCTGCTTCAAGTTTTTACTGATTTTATTTTAATTATAATATCCTATATTTGCCAACAATGTTCAACTCACCTTTTTAAATTAAATATGCTTTCAAATCTTAATAATTCCCGAATATGGTGAGGTTTAAGCAAAAACAAAGATTCAACTTCTAAATTTTGTAACTTTTTAATTAAAATTTAAGACATCACAGGCCTTGTGATGCAAATCGCTAATGCCTGTATTATACTACATGAAATTCCTCCATGGCCTGGCAGGCATTCTAGCCCTCTACCTACTTCACAGATGAAGAAATTGTCATTTCCAGTTCAGTTTTATTAACCACTGTATTCTGGGAGCCCAGGCCCCTGCCTGTCGAGCAGTAAGCACTCAACAAACGTGCACGAAATGTACGAAGGAGGCTTGGAGAGGTTGTGTAAATTGCCCAGGTCACCCACCCTTCCTGGATGGCCCCGGCCCTCTTTAAAAATCAATCCAACAGGAAGGCGACCAGCGGAACTGGGTGATGATCCTGAAGTGAGCCACACCAGATGTGGCCCAGACTTCCGCATGCAGCCTGCCCTCGGGTCTCCTGGAGTCTCCCCAGGTCGGGCGCCTCAGCTTTGGTGAGAGTCACACGCGACACACCCTCTTACTCAGAGACGAATCGCTCTGTTGCCTCCCCTCGCTGACCACAGGTGCTCCAGGGCTCTTTCTAAAGGAGACAGCTATTCCAGCCGGGAGGCTGGAGTCTCCCGGCCTGAAGGCCCCGGGGTGTGAGGGATGGGTTTGCCTGGAAGGAAAGGAAGTGGCCGCGCGGCTTTAATCATCGGGGCTAGTCCCCGGCGGGCCTTGGGGGACAGGGAAACTGGAGGCGGCCTTAAAGCGGCGAGATGAGAGGTCGCAAGAGGAGCTGCAGAGTGAGCGTGCGTCCAGCTTCTCGCCGCCAAACCGCCCTTCCGCCACCCTTTGCCCTTAAAAATCTGCAGACTGCGCCTCCTCTCCGAGGGAGCGAGACCTAGCAGGCCCGGGGCTGGGCGTGCCCTCGCCTGCCCCGCCGCGCGCTGCCCTCAGCCGGGCCGCTGGGGGCCGCGCAGGGCGGAGACAGTGCACCTGGCACATTGCGCCCGGCAGGCGGCGGACACCGAGCCTCAGCGGGAGGTCCCGGCGCAGCTTCGCCAGCGCGCCCTGGCTCCAGCCCACCCCTGCTGCAGCCTTGGCTGGGCAGCCGCCGACACTGGACGCCCCCCGCTCCCCACTTCGCCAGCGCCTCCTCCCCGGCTCTGCTCCGGGCGGTTTGTAGGGACTCAGCTCTCCACGTGCAAGTCTGCGAAGCGGCACGCAACAGGCTCCTGGAAAGGAGGTGGGTGCTCCGGTACTAGGGCTGGGGAGCTGGAGGTTCGGAGGCTTTGATGGGCACCAGTAGCTCCTGATCCCCCTACCCCCTTTCTTTCTGCAGCCTCTTGTACTTAAATGGCTGTTGATTGAAAATAATTTCGTCTGGATGTGACCACCTTCTCCTGCCCTATGCATCTGGCCACACGAAACAAACTTTCAGTCCAGCCTTAATGGGAGTAAGGGGCATGCTTATCCACCCAACATCCGCCCCAGGTCCTGCAGAGCTGGCAAAAGACAGGCTGAGTGGCCTTCGGGCACCAAACACCTTCAGATCTTCCAGGGGAAGCGTCGGGGACTGTCTTCCCCTCCTTCTTCTCTTTCCTCCTTCCTGCTCTCCATCCCTCCATCCCTCCTTCCCTGCTTTCCTTTCTTTCTTTGATTTTCTGCGAAGGGCTGTTGAGCTTCACGTCTGCCAGTAGCTTTGCTTCTTGTTTTGGTCTCCTTAGATGCGTTTTCCTGGCTGAAGTTTGCTGCTATCCTTGACAAGTAACAGCTTGCTGCAGACTAGAAGTTCACTCAAAAATGAAGGCGCAGAAAGATAGGAGAGGAATGCGGGAAAACCAGCTTGTCTAACTTTAGCCTGCGTTTTGTCGTAAAGGGAATCAGCATCTATCTATTGCCTAAATGCATAGTGTTTTAATCACCCAGGTTAGGAAAAGAAAAGACCTTATATCGGATTGCCCAGTGAAATAAGCAGTAAGGAATCACCTTTAAAAGTTATTTTCTTTATACACAAAACTTTTTTTTTTTTTTTTTTTTTTGAGACGGAGTCTCGTTCTGTCTACAGGCCCCAGGCTGGAGTGCAGTGGCCGGATCCCGGCTCACTGCAACCTCCGCCTCCTGGATTCAAGCAGTTCTCCTCCTGCCTCAGCCTCCAGAGTAGCTGAGACTACAGGCGTGCACCACCATGCCCAGCTAATTTTTGTATTTTTTTTAATAGAGACAGGGTTTCACCATGTTGGCCACAATGGTCTTGAACTCCTGACCTTGCGATCCGCCCGCCTCAGCCTCCCAAAGTGCTGGGATTACAGGCGTGAGCCACCACGCCAGGCCCCAAAACATTTTAAATAACTAGACCTCCCAATCATAGAAATTGTAAGGATCTTAAAGTCAAACAGTTCAATGCCAAGTTATGAGGTTGACGATGAAGGGGCATCTTTTTTTGTCTGCTCATTGGGCAAGATTCATGTTGATAGAAATGCTTAGTAAAGGCAACTGAGAATTCAGTTCATGCAGTTTAAGGAGTTTTCTTTCATTTTGGCATTACAACATTATCAGAGTGGTTTCCCAGTGTGGTGGATAAGAGTTTGAAGTTAGAAAGAAAGACCTGGATTTCCATCTGGCTCCAGCATCTCACTTGCTGTGTGACCTCAGACAAGTTGCTTCATCTCTCTGAGCCTGCGTTTACTCATTTCTAAATGAAATTGTTGGGAGGATGAAAAGGGATAATGGAAGACAGGAGTTAACACAGAGCACATCATCCAGTCGGCAGGTGATACAGGATACCTGAAGCCGATGATGACAGAGGCAAGCAGTTAGGCCTAATGCAGTCACTGACTAAACCACTCCCCATGCAGAGGGTTCTGTGTGTGCCTCTGTGCATGGGGAGTAGATGCATTGCATACTTCTGACTATAAAAACATAAGGAGCTACTTCTGAACTCTTAAATTTGATTCTAATCATAAAATCTGTCCCAAATCTGTTCAGATTTGGAGTATTAAATGTATCTATGTAACATATTTTGAGATTCTCTTATGCTTACAAATGAGGAGTTTCAAGTGAACACACAGAACAGATATGACACTGGTTGTTGATTTATCATTAAAAGTAATGTTCGTCAGATGTTACCGACATTCCTGGCTTAATATTGATCTGAATAGGTTGAAGGGAGGAACTGAGTATGGCCACAAACCAGCAACATCTGGAGCCTGTTAAGAAATGCATGGCCCCGCTCAGTAAGGTGGTTCATGCCTGTAATCCCAGCACTGTGGGAGGCAGAGATGAGCAGTTCACGAGGTCAGGAGATCGAGACCATCCTGGCCAACATGGTGAAACCCCATCTCTACTAAAAATACAAAAATTAGCTGGGCATGGTGGCATCTGCCTGTAATCCCAGCTACTCAGGAGGCTGAGACAGGAAAATTGCTTAAACCTGGGAGGTGGATGTTGCAGTGAGCTGAGATCACAGGCAACCTCCAGTTTGGGTGACAAAGCAAGACACCGTCTCCAAAAAAAAAAAGAAAGAAAGAAATGCATGGCCCCTCCCCGGGCCTGCTGATAGAATATGCATTTTAATAGAATCCCTGGGGGATTTGTGTATATCCTCAGTTAGAGGAGCCCTTTCTTAGGAGTTTGAGTGCACTGATGTTTCTCAAAAATAGGCCTTATGAAAACAGATTTCTCGTAAGCTGGCTTTACATGGTAAAGTGAAAAAGACTCATTATCATTTAAATGATGTTTACTTTAAATGTTTAAAACAGCCAAGGGCTGTAGCATTATTTATTTCTGTTTAAAAGTAAGAGAGAACTGACATCTCACTTTTTGTTTAAGTTCTGCCGATTTTGGATTCCAGTGTTCCTGTTACCCTCCAAAACGTTTCAGTTGTGAATGTTCTCTCTTGCTAGCTTCTCCAGTTAGGGGAAAACTATGGGTTTGAAGTTCACACCCCCATCTGTACCTTGAAGAGCGAGCTTTTTATATCTGTTACTCCTGTTTTTAAGTCTTTTGCCAAAGATGTATCCAAAAACTTAATTGGTGCATTTATATAATCTATTTTTATATGATATAAAACAATAATAAGTAAATCAAATACATGGCAATAATTATTAATAACCCGTATCTTTATATGCACTTAAGGTAAAACTATGTATTACAATGACTGAAATAGGATTTTGGCTTTTTAAATTTTTTGAGCTTTATTATAAAATATAAATTTTTGTAGGAGGAATGTAATAATATACATTAAAGATATTAGAGATAGGAGATTTTAATGACATCCCTTAAGCGTCAACTTTATTGAAGTATAATTTGCATACAACAAAATGTATTCAATGGTAGTATATTTTAAATCTGTGCATTTTACTACATGCAAATTATACCTTAATAAAATTGATTTTTTAAAAAGGTAACATGGAAGATTGCCTATTGCCAGGTAGCTGAGAGAAGGTCAAAAGAAGTCAATAGAGAGAGGAAATGAAGATCGAAGCATTGAGTGGACGAAGAAAATACAGAGCCAAATGGTCTTGGATGAGTGGGTGAATGAAAAATGAAGTACATAAATTTAGACAGTTTGAGACCATTTTTATAAAATTTTTTGTTTTTAAAGTTAAGATGCTGAATTTAATATCTGGAGTATCAGAAACTTTGCAGAGTTTTTTGAAGAGGAGGTTAAAATGAAAAACGAAACGAAAAACAGAAATTTTGCTCTGCAAGTCTCCTGGCACGTCCCATTTCCTTCCCACATTCCAATCTATGTCTGCCTTTGTGTTCAGAAGACACCAGCATTTGCCACAATGCTGTCATCCACTGACTTTACATCTGCCTCCTGGGAGCTTGTGGTTCGCGTTGATAATCCCAGTGAAGAAGAGCAGAAAGATGTCACACTGCGAGTGTCTGGAGACCTTCATGTCGGGGGAGTGATGCTCAAGTTAGTAGAACAGATCAGTAAGTTACTCCTGCTTTATGGTTTCTCTGCATTTGAAACCCTCTCTGTTGCATCGCTGCTAATGGCTGGTCTAGGTTTTTCTGATCATCTATCTTGTAATGGCCTGGGGAGCAATCCCCCACCCCCCATCCCAGAGGAAAGAGAAATAGAGAGCCCAGGCTGGGTGCTGTGGCTCACACTTGCAATCCCAGCACTTTGGGAGGCCAAGGTGGGCAGATCACCTGAGGTCAGGAGTTAGAGAACAGCCTGACCAACATGGCGAAACCCCATCTCTACTAAAAATATAAAAATTAGCCAAGCATGGTGGTAGGCACCTGTAATCCCAGGTACTCAGAAGCCTGAGGCAAGAGAATCATTTGAACCCAGGAGGTGAAGGTTGCAGTGAGCCAAGATTGTGCCGCTGCACTCCAGCCTGTGCGAAAGAGCAAGACTCAGTCTCAAAGAAAAAAATACAAAAACTTGAGTCTTTGGTGCCAAGTAAAGTTCCCAGCAGGTGTAATGCTGGACTTCAGCAGGGATGGAACCCATTCCACTAGTGACATCTAATGTGGCTTTAGGTAGCTTGGCATTTGAATGCTGTGTTAATTCTCTGTTTATACTTGATAGCTTAGTGATAAATTGGTGCTGCAATGTCTTTTAACACTTATCCACCACTTACTACTCTCCCTGTTTAAGGAAAGAAATCTTCAGTGTTACATTCTTCACATCAGGAGCCAACATTGTCAACCTAGAATTTAATAACATTCTCTTTTCATTGTGCTTATTTTACCTTCT